TATCTCTAGCAGTCCTCTGAGAGTGTTTGCTATGGGTCCAAGGGCCAATTTCAAGTAAACAAGAGGGAAGCAGGAGCCCTGCAAGCATGTCACTCATTTCAAGAATCCTGTAGAGCTCTGTTGTAGGTATCAGGAATCGCGAGTAGGTGATTTGGTGAGGCTGTTGAGAATGTTCTGACAGGCCCATCCAGATGCTCTGATGAGCTCGAGCCTTCTTTACTGATGGACTGAGCAAGGTCATGCCTCTGGCCCTAAGAAAAAGATTCCTTTTTCATCTGCTTCCAGCCTTGAGGCATCAGAGAGAAGAGCGGAGGGGGAGGACGAGAGAGCAGTATTGACGAGTGGCTGCTGGGACAGCACTGGTTGAATAAAATTCTATTTTCACACAAAACAGAAAAGGTAGTTTCAGGAATGAGATACCAGTACAGGTCTGCATGTGGTGATTTGTATTGACTATTGTGTTTTCAGATTGATTTTTAAAGAAAAAAATAAGGAAAAAGTATTGCCATTGTTCAGACAGAATAATTTTCCATAAAATTCTTCGGTTAAAATTCTAGTTTTTCTCTTCGGTTAAATAACATGAAATTGCCATATTTGACCATTTTTTTGTCCTACAAAAATGGCAGTTCGTATGTTTTTATCTTCTATTTTTTAAAAAATCTATTTTTATGGAATTATCTCCAACATAGGACATTAAGATAGTATTTTCCTATAAAGAAATCTCACCTTCACTTACAAGTGGTTTGGAGGGTGTGTAACCAGTTGGCATTGCGTTGACTCTGACTCATGGTGATCGCATGTGTGTCAGAGCAGAACTATGTGCTTCATAGAGTTTTCAAAGGCTGATTTTCTGGGAGTAGATTGCCAGGCCTTTCCTCCTCAGTGCCTCTGGATGAACTTGAACCTCCAACCTTGTGGTTAGCAGCCGAGCACATTAACTGCTTGTACCACCCAGAAACTACAGAGAGTGTGTAGCTACTGTTTATTTCAGAAGTGACTTTAAATTGTTGATGTGGCTCCATTTCTCCCTGCCTGGTCACAACTCCTAATTCTGATGATGGAGAAGTCTCCAGTCACTCCTGCTGCATTCCGGCACGGGCTGGCTGTCCCTGGAGGGGTAGTCCTCGTTGTTAGGTGGTACTGTGCGGCTCTGAGAGGCTGGGAAGAATACGGTTTTAAGTGCTGTGTGTACCAGTTCCATTCTGGGCTGCAGAAACTTCCCTGCCGCAGGTCCATCTAGTGACATTAATCTTGCTTTGATTTAATTTGGTTATCATCCCTAAAGCAGGGGCCCGGAGGATGCTCCCTGTCTCACAGGAGTGAGGGACAATTAATGAGCTGCTCTTAGGAAGGCATTTGGAGCCCCTCCCAGAGAACAGGCAGCATCATATTTTTAACACTTTGGATTCTGTGGTACTTTTCAAAAAGGCATTTCTATCTTCAACTCGGCAGCAGCTGGCTTGTGGGCAATAGGAAATGAAAACTTTCCCCTCCCCAAACATCTGTAAATAAACAGCTTTTCTGCCTTTAGTGTAGTGTGAAAGTGTAGTGTGGTGTGAAAGTGTCACATGGTCACATGGTGGGGGGAGTGGGGGGAGACGTTCCAGCCCTAGAGCAGCTGTGGAAGTTAGAAATATGCTCACACACACACACACACGCGCATGCAACTCATCCACTAATAAAATGCTTTTACACTTGGCTCTCAGGAGATAATTTCAGAGTAACATTTCTTTGGTGCAAGCTGCATTTATGCTATCTTAATGCTCAAGCACAGTGCCAGCAGTGAGTCGCTGCCAGCTCTTTAAAAGACATTTGAACTTTTGGCAACACTCCCCATCGGAAGGCCCATCCATGGTGTTGGTGATTATAGAGTAAGGGTGCTCGCTTTTGGCAAAACAAAGCATCTGACAGGAGCGGAGTATTGGCTCAACACTCAGTGGGATCCACTTGGGATTCATTCTTTGACAATTACCCAGAATGAATCGCCAGCTTCCTTTTATAAAAAGATATTTATTGGCTTAGAAACTGGCTATAGACAGATCTTCATGGGGAAGAATTCTGTAACTGTGTTCAAATATTCTCATAAACTCAGTGTCTGAGTATTGCTAAGGGGGTGCCCGCACAGAGCGCTTGCTTTAATTGCATCAAGTATGGAGGAGAACTGAAAAAGCAGCCAGGAAACAATGAATGGCTCAAGGGGAAGGGAGAGGACGGTTGGTAATAAAAGCAGAGTGGAAGAGCTCAGTAAGAGTTAAGAATCCCCACTTTGCAGAGGCCTGATGTCCCCAGCCAGCCCCTGCCCAGACTCCACCCTCCCAAGATGGAGGCCTCTGGCTGAAACTTAGCAGCTGGATGGGCACAGCTGGCTGGACAGCTGTCCTCAGAGACCTGTCCAGGCTGCCTCTTGCTCTCTGTTTCTTCATCTATGGGTGCAACCTGAAGGAGATTAGAGTTTAATCCTTTGGTGGTTGCTAGGCAGGTGTGTACATTCTGATAACCAACGTGCCGCAGGTTAGAAGAGAAATTCTAGGTTTCTTTTTTTTCCGAATTTAACCAGTTGCTATTGAATTGGTTCTGACTCATAGCAACCCTATGTGTGTCAGAGTAAAACTGTGCTCCGTAGGGTTTTCAGTGGCTAGTTTTTCAGAAGTAGATCACCAGACCTTTCTTCCAAGGTGCTTCTGGATGGACTCAGACATCCAGTCTTTAGGTTAGCAGCTGAGTGCATTAGCTGTTTGCACTACCCAGGGACTTCCTTTTCCAAACTAGGGAAGGCCAATTCCAAGTTAGTATGGGAATTTAAGATGGCCTTGGAGCTTTAGAGTGGAGGGAAAAATCATGTAGCTAATAATGTTCAGAAATGACAGGGTTTATCCTCCAGCCACATCCCAGAATGAAAGAGGTAATTTCTGTATCCCTGACCTACCTCTTCTTGTGGACCAGCCCTGAGAACAGTCTACTCCTCCAGAGGAATGAGGCCTGCCCCGTTTATCTTAGCATTTACAGTAGCATCTTCTTTACCCAGTTATTTCCCAGGGACCATCAGCATGTGGAAGTCCCTGGATGGTGCAAATGGTTAACACACTTCGGTGCTAACTGAAAGGTTGGAAGTTCAAGTCCACCCAGAGGTGCCTCAGAAGAAAGGCCTGGTGACCTAATTCCAAAATATCAGCCTTTGAAAACCCTATGGGGTACAGTTTTACTCTGACATACATGGGGTCACCATGAGTCGAATCAATTCAACAACAACTGGTTTTATCAGGGTATAGGGAGGGGTGTACTGGAGTGCCACTTGGCCCTGGGCTTCACATTCCCCAAAGGCCTCAGGTGAGAACTCTTTAACCCTGTCTCCAGAAGAAGCTATACAAAGGCATTGCATTAATGTGTGAGTGTGGTGAAAGTGTTTGTCAAATGTGTACATTTAAAATCTATGGCAATTTTTAAACACCTTTTGGTTATTGGGATATAGTTTATATAGCATTAATTTCGCTTGTTTAAAGTGTACACTTCAATGGTTTTCAGTAAATTCAGAGTTGTGGAACCATCACCACTGTCCAATTTTAGAACATTTTTATCATCCCAAAAAGAAACCTTGTACTCATTAGCAGTCACTCTACATTCCCCCAACCCCTGCTTTAGGCAATGGGTAGTCTACTTTCTGTCTGGATAAATTTGCGTAGTCTGGAGATTTCATATAAATGGGATCGTATGGTATGTGGTCTTTTGTGACTGGCTTCTTTCACTTAGGGTGTTTTTTTTTCCCTCTTTTTTTTAATTGTACTTTAGGTGAAGGTTTACAGAACAAATAGTTTCTCATTAAACAGTACACATATTGTTTTATTACAACGGTTAACAACCTCACAACATGTCAACACTGTCTCTTCTCGACCTTGGCTTCCCTATTACCAGTTTTTCTGTCCCCTCCTGCCTTCTAGTCCTTGTCCCTGGACTGTTGTTGTGCCCCGTTAGTCTCATTTTGTTTTACGGGGCTGTCTAATCTTTGGCTGAAGGGTGAACCTCGGGCGTAACTTCATTACTGAGCTACAGGGGTATCTGGGGGCCATACTCTCGGCATTTCTCCAGTCTCTGTCAGGCCAGTAAGTCTGGTCTTTTTTTGTGAGTTAGAATTTTGTTCTACATTTTTCTCCAGCTCTGTCCAGGACCCTCTCTCATGATCCCTGTCAGAGCAGTCAGTGGTGGTAGCCAGGCACCATCTAGTTGTACTGGACTCAGTCTGGTGGAGGCCCTGGTAGTTGTGGTCCTTAGTCCTTTGGACTAATCTTTCCCTTGTATCTTATTTCCTTCATTCTCCCTTGCTCCCGAAGGGGTGAGACCAGTGGAGTATCTTAGATGGCTGCTCACAGGCTTTTAAGACCCCAGACACTACTCACCAAAGTAGAATGTAGAACATTTTCTTTATAAACTGTGTTATGCCAGTTTAGCGTGATATTTTTGAGGTACATCCATGATGTAGCATGTATTAATACTTTATTCCTTTTATTGTATGGCGCCTCTGAGTAGACTCAAATCTCCAACTTTTCAATTAGCAGCTGAGTGTGTTAACCATTTTCACCACCCAGGGATTCCCCTAATATAGTAGGAACCTCAAAAAATGAAATTGGCCCAAACCTCTCTTGACCTCTGAGAAGTTAGGGTATATCCTAACACAGGTGAGTCTTCCCTTCATCCAGGGCTGGCCCGACGCCCGTTGATCCCATGACATCGGGGCTGCCACCTTCTCAGTGCTCACCTCTGCCTCTCCTTGCCTTGTCTTTCTCCTTCCCTGGACTGTGAGCTCCTTGAAGGCAGAGACAGTGTCTCATTGTTATAGCCCAACCTCCAGCACGGCGCCTGGAACATCATAATAAATATTTGATTCAATAAGTGAGAGAATGTGCGATCTAAGTCCTGGGTGCAGTTGAGAATGCCATGTAAGTCCTGGGTGCAGTTGAGAAATACGTTAAAATTTGAAGACTCATATTTTTTATCTTTGCTTTCAGATATCAAATGGATCCACTATAGAAGTCTTTAAGAAGATAGCAAATTTTACATCAGGTAACCCATATAATATTGTTAACCTTTTGTTCTCGCTCAGCTTTATAAATAGCCGCTTTTTGCCTCTCTCGGATGTATTGCCACAAAGGTGAGACTGAATTGTTGCTGTGTGATATGTCTGAAAGCAGAGAAAAGCCATTTCAATCTGTTTCTGGTGCTAAGACTGTAAGTCCTGCAAGAAGAAGGAAAGGAAAATGTAAACAGTGGTTGGCTGGGACTGCTCAGCACTGAGGAAGCTGCTGCCTCTTAGCAATCCTGAACTCAAGGCAGAGTCGCAGCCCTTGTAACTCTCCTCCAGCTCCTCAGTAGGGTGGGGGCTAAGAGAGTGGATCCTCTTGGCAAACTGAGAGGGAAGCTTACAGATAATTGCACAGCCTGCAAGTGCTGACCAAACAAGATAACCCACTTAGGAAGTCATATGACTGCCCACATCTCCAGCAATAGCACTTGTAAACTTCCCAGATTGTGGAGAGAGATAATCTAAAACCAGAAAACCAGTTGCTGGGGAGTCGGCTCAGACTCTTGGTGATTGCAGGTGGGTCAGAGTAGAACTGTGCTCCATAGAGTTTTCAATGGCTGATTTTTTCGGGAGTTGCCAGGCCTTTCCTCTGAGGCATCTCTGGGTGGACTCAAACCTCCAACCTTTTGATTAGCAGTTGAGCTCATTAACCTTCATACCACCTAGGGTCCCAGACAAATTAAAGAGGGAGCTTTTATGGGAAAGTCAAGAGGCCCCGTTTCTAAACTCATCTACCGCCTCGATAGCCTTGGGGGCACAAAAGCAGTCTGTGACAGTGCCTTGAGAAAATCCCTAGGTCCCGTTCCAGGTTTGTCTCCAGGGAAATGCTACCGCAGCCAAGACAATCAGTGCTCAGCCCTCTGAAGGGTTCTGGCCCTCTCATCAACAGGGTCCTCCTCACACACAGCCGGAGTTGGGGCTTCCTGATTCAGTACTAGAAGCAGCTTGGTGGATCCCAGCACCTGGTCACTACAAGCAGGAAATGCAGGGCTTCTGATAAAATAGAGGATAATTCGGTAGGTTGTAGGACACTCCTTTGGAGACGCCCCCTTTCTATCACCACATCAGGCTATAATGAAGGAGGAGCCATCTTGCAGAGTGGCTGGCATTCTGAGATAAGGCGGATGGTGGCCTTGTGTTGTAAAAAGTGGAAGAGCTGTGTTTTCAGATTTCAAAGACTGAACCTTCAAAGGTTGGGCCTTTTGAAGAGTTTGATAGTTGGGGACCTGTTAGTAGAATTTGGGCTTGGATCTTTTCATGGGACCTCCAGTCAGCCAATGCCTCTGTTTCCTCCCTGTCCAGTGACTCTCCCTGTCTTCCCTGCCCTCTAATGCAGCTGAGAGCCATCCTTTTGATCACTATCCTGCTAACACTCCAAGCCCTGTGCCCCTCTGCCGTTTCATCATCCTCTCTGTTAAAACCCCAGCCCTGGATGAACCCAACTATTGGCCTGTCCTGGACCTGCAGCCAGGCAGCCGCAGGAGAGAGGCACCCAAACTGGCGGTTAGGCCACACTACAAGATGATGGTGCTCGCTTTGACCTGGTCCCTCAACACAGCCCAGTCCTACTGAGTTTCTCTAAGCAGCTCACGCTGGGTTCTCCACAGTGTCTCCTTTCTTTTCTCAAAGGTCTGACCCGCACAGCTTCCCTGACTTTCAGTAGATGACTTCACCCTCTACTTCACAGAAAAAAAAAAAAAAAAAAATCAGAACTCCCACAACATCCAGCACTAACCTTCCCAACCGGCCTGCGTTTGCCCCATTTCCTCCTCCTTGCTTCCCCTGACATTCTCAGACTATCCTTCCTCCCATCCAGAGCTAGTCTCCCCATCTGTGATCTGGATCCCACAGTCCTTCTGATCTGGACATTCTTCTTGTTGTTAGCTGCTGTGGAGTCGACCCCATGCACAATGGAAGGAAATAGTGCCTGGTCCTGCACCATCCTCGTGACCGATTGTGGATCAGGCCATCTGAGCATTCTTACATCATCAGTAATCTCTACTGCCACCTGTACTTTCTTTCTCTCCCCTCTACTGCGTCCTTTCCATTGGCATTCCAAAAATAATCTAGTCTGTCTCATCTTCCCTCTTATTCCTCCATTTACCCTTTACACCCAATTTTCTTCCAAGAATTTCCTCACACTGTGCCACTCTCCCATTTGCTCTGTGAGCTCCACCTCATCACCTTTCTTTCAGGTCTTAGAAGAGATCATGCTCCTTCCCACCTCAGGGCCTTTGCACTTCTTGTTTCCGTTCTCCATTTGCCTGGCTAACTCTATCCATTCATTTAGGTCAGCTCAAACATGCCTTCCTCAAACATCCCAGACTAGGTCAGTTCCTTGTTAGATACTCTTTTAGCATATAATTCTCCTTCATGGTCCTGATCACACTTTCAGTTAATTAATTGTGTAATTAATAGTTTGATGTCTTTCACTGGCTAGAATGTAAATTCTGTTAGGGCAGAAACTGTCGTGGTTATTATTCACTGTCGTGGAGTTGGCCTCTGACTCATGGTGACCCCATGCAAAACGAAACAAAACACTGCTTGGTCCTGCGCCAACCCCACGATTGCTTACAGGTTGGACTGCTGTGATTCATAGAGTTTTCCTTGACTGATTTCTCAGAAGTAGATCACCAGGCCTTCTTGCTAGTCGATCTTAGTCTGGAAGCTTTGCTGAAACCTGTTCAGCATCATAGTAACATGCAAGCCTCCACTGACAGATGGGTGGTGGCTGAGCATGAGATACATTGGCCAGGAATCAAACCCAAGTCTCCTGCATGGAAGGCAAGAATTCTGCCACTGAACCACCACTGCCCCCAACAGGGCAAGAACTAGGTCTTTTTTAATTCATTGTTATATGCCTGATAGCCCCTGGCACATAGTAGGTGCTCCATAAATATTTGTTAAGTGAGTGAGACTTGAACCTCTTCTACCCCACCGTCACCAAGTTTTAGCCTCTTTTTCAACACTTCAAGGACAGGGAACGTGCTTCCCACTGCAGGCTCTAGCTCATACTATCTATCTTCATACCGTTCTTAAGATCTTAAGATGTAGCAAAGGGTGAAAAAAATGTAACTTAGGTAACCTCTTCAGTTTATAGCACAAATGGGGCGTTTTATGGGATAGCCAATTAGCCCGTGGTTGTTTTTTTAATGGACTGTTTTCTCTCTTTCTCTCTGGCGTTCAGACGTGGAATACTCAGACGACCACTGCCATTTGGTGAGTTAAGGCTTTCTTGCGCTCGCTGCTGAATCGCATGCCTTCTGTAGTATGAATGGTCTCCTTGGGTAACACTTCTACTACTCTGTCTTCCCTTTAGATTTTACCAGATTCAGAAGCATTCCAAGATGTACAAGGAAAGAGACATCGAGGGAAGCACAAGTTCAAAGTAAAAGAAATGTATCTGACAAAGCTGCTGTCAACCAAGGTACACTTACTGTTCTGGGGGCGCTTTTACGGCTACCTTGGGGGTGTATGATGTGTTTGACTTAATTTCCACTGAAGTGTGAAAATGTTACAAATCCCTTGTGCCTTCTAGCAAAGCAAAATGAAAGTTTAAATTGTAAACACTTCCTACCCGCTTTCTTTTTTTATATATATAAACTGCAAAGATAACAGCACTTCACAAATTTCCACTATAGCATCTTCAATCAGGGATTTAATATTGTTCCCAGCCCCTTTACCCACCATTTTGCTATTGTTATTTTTTAGGTTGACAGCATAATTATTCCTTTTTGTTTACTTGTTATTATCTATGAGCAATAAAACTCTCTTTGAATTGCAAATAAAATGAAGGCGGGGTCAGTGACTATAAACCAAGTAAATCTTACTGATTTTTTTTTTCATTTTAAAGTTAAGAATTCTATTCACATATAAAAATGTCAGGCGTGAAAGCCAGTGGAATACCAAATCAGGAGCCAATTTTTCGTTATTTGGCTTTTGTTAGGATTAACAGAAATCTGTGGTGGTCCTTTTTTTTTTCTGAAATGACTAGCAATATAAATGCTGTTATCTGCACCTGGCCCCAGTAACTTGATGGGCATGCTTCTTCAGATTACAGCAGAGAATCCACGTAGAGCTTAGTAGATATGTTTAGTGAGCAGAGGACAGACACAGCCTCTTAATTTTCTCAGCTGTCTCACAGAGTTCTGCCTATTTGGTTTTTGTAAAGCACTCACGTGCTTTGGAAAGGCCACAATAAAACCCTATGATGGAAACATGTGCAGCAAGAAAAATTCTGGGAACAGAGCAACATCACTTGAGTTTTTCTAGGCTGAGCATAACTATAAAAGCCAAACATCCATGGCTCCTTGGTTTATGTGTACAGCCCTACAACTGACATTTCAACCACTAGAGATTTCTAAGATATTCTCCCTGTTGGCTAAACACTGTTGTCATCAGCAAGAAGCTTATGAAACAAATTTATAATTTTGGCCGTGGGTTTCCAGGACCTTTGTCCCATACTGTGAGTGTTGGCCTCATTTGACAATTTTAGTTATTGTCTTTTCAGCTTTTCTCTGTTTTGTACACTATAGTCTCTAAACTTGGATTTCATTTTCCGTCGTGTTTTCAAAACTGCTACTGTACATACACACACGTATATATTTATATACTTTTTCTTTTTAATCTCACAAATGCAATGTCCTCTGTCTTTCAGGTGGCAATTCATTCTGTGCTTGAAAAACTTTTTAGAAGCATTTGGAGTTTACCCAACAGCAGAGCCCCATTTGCTATAAAATACTTTTTTGACTTTTTGGATGCCCAGGCTGAAAACAAAAAAATCACAGATCCTGATGTTGTACATATTTGGAAAACAAACAGGTGGGAATGTAGGCAATTATTGACTGTTTTCACGAATCTGGGACAGAATAACTAAAATTGAGGGCAAAGATAGGAAGATTTATCAGAATCTTTGTGCTTGGTAAGCTATCATGTCAAAATAGTTTCTTGCTCTGTTACTATTTTTAAACAATAAATAAAACTACTTCTATGCTGAGAATTCTATTCTTTAGGATTAAGTAAAAAAATCTATTATCCTTAATGCATGAAAAACACTGTCTAAAATGTTAACATGAGTTTAGCTTGACCAGAAGGATGAGAAATTAATATTTTGTGGGATTCCTCATACAATGTTTTCATTAAAGACTCTTTTATTTGTCCCTAAAAGAATCGGTCACTTTGCAATTTCCAAACTGTCTTCTTCCTGCATGCTTAAGCCCTATCCAGGCCTATCTCAGATCGTTGCTTGTGTTCACTCCCTTCCTTTCAGCCACTGTGTTTGTCTACACTCTGATTCTGTATATAAATGCTTCAGCCTTATCAAATACAGTACTCAGATGCCAGGAGAATTAACCAAAGGTTTGTTTTATTTATTAACATTTTACCTCAGGCAGGGGTAAGGAATCTAGATTTATTCTAAATGTCTCTGCAGTAAAAAAAAAAATATAGCTCATTACCTTTATTTGAAATACTTTTGCATGAGCTGAGTAAGACTCAGAGTTATGATGAACAACTTCTCAGTGCAAGCTCAAGCCCTTCCAAGCACTGAAGGTAGGCAGACGATTTTAAACAAGTACTAAAAGCTGAAGTTCTAGAGTCTAGATCTGAGCTTCTCCCATTTAATCCAGGTCTAGCCCAACTCCCTGCCCCAGTCCGCTCCCTTCCTGTGTTCTAGCCTTTTATCCCCCTGCCCTGCTATTCTCGCACCAAGCTTGGGAGCTGCAGCCCACCACTGCACCATGAAGACATGGCATCTGAGCAGGGGTAGCAGCCAGGACAGTGGGGCTGGAAGTGCCTTTAGGCTATTGAGAGACCCAGTAGCCATATGGTAGAGGCTAGAGTTGGACTTTGAACAGTTCTCAAGTTTATATTCAGGTATTTATTTGAGTACCTACTATGTGCCAAGCACTGGTATAGGTGCTAGAAATATAAACCAGTTTCTGTCTAGTCGATTTTCAACTCATGGTGACCTCAATAGAACTGGGCTTCATAGGGTTTTCAATGGCTGATTTTTCCAAAGTAGATTGCCAGGCCTTTCTTCCAAGGCACCTCTGGGTGGACTTGAACCCTTAACCTTTCAGCTAGCAGCTGAGTGTGTTAACCACTTGCAACACACAGGAACTCTGCTGGAGATAAAATAATGAACAAAACAGGCAAAAACCCATGTTCTTATGGAGTTTATATTCTAATGGGTGAAGACAGACAATAAAATAGGCTTAGTATATGAGAAGGTTATGTGTGCAATGGAGAAACTGGGAAAGGAGAATAAAGAGTGTCAGGATAGATTGGTTAGAGAAGTCCTCACTGAGATGATGCCATTTGAGCCAAGTTTTGAAAGAGGTGACAGGTGAGGGCACAAACCATGTGACCATCTCAAGAGAGTTTCAGGAAGACAGGCAACAAGAGCAGAAGTCCTGAGGCAGGAGCTTGGCTGGCATTCTTGAACAACAGTGAGGAGGCCACTTGAGTTGGAATGAGTAAGGTAGAAAGTAGTAGGAGATGGGGGCACTGGGCCAGACCATGTAGGGTTTTTACCTGCAAGGAGATGGAAACATGTAGTATTTGGAGCAGAGGAGAGACATGATCTGATTCTGCGTTAAAACAATCACTGGTAGTTGTGTAGAGAATAAACCATCAGAAGCTGGGGATTATAATCCAGGTGAGAGACGGTGGTAGCTTAGACCAGGGTGTAGCATTTAGGAGGCACAGTGGTTAAAATGATCGACTGCTAACTGAAAGGTTGGCAGTTTGAAACCACCAGCGGCTCTGAGGGAGAAAGATGTGGCAGTCTGCTTCTGTAGAGATTTTAGCCACGGAAACCCTATGCGGTCGCTGTGAGTCCAAATCACCTTGAAGGCAGTGGGTGGGCAGCACCTAGAGGAAGTGAGTAGAGGTCAGATTCTACAGCTCTGAATATGAGATGTTCTCATTGGTAACCATTATCTAATATTATCAAGAACTATCTGGAGAAAATTCTTATCCACTTTCAGATTTATCCTCCTCTAGTCCTTCCTCTCAGTAGCCCTGTTAGTTTAACCCTTTCTTGTTCTCTCTCAGTGATGCTGCCATCTGTTGCTTGGTATGTCTGCCAAAGCAGACTTGTATACTTTGATTACAAGGATAAAAACGCCTGTTTACAAACTGGGATAAACAGAACACTGGCCTCATATGAATGGCCCTATTTGAAAGAGATTTCTCTCTCCTTTTGAACAGCCTTCCTCTTCGTTTCTGGGTAAACATCCTGAAGAACCCTCAGTTTGTCTTTGACATTAAGAAGACGCCGCACATAGATGGCTGTTTGTCAGTGATTGCCCAGGCATTCATGGATGCATTTTCTCTCACGGAGCAGCAACTAGGGAAGGTAGGGCTCCACTGTAGTATTTTTTGAACGTCCTCCTATGAATTTGAAGTACTCTCTATTTCCTGTAAACCAACTCTGTAAAAATAATAAACGATTGGCCTAAACCATGCCAGCTGAAAGGAAATAGCCAATGATGGTCACTGTACATTCATTTTGCTCCAAAATATGTCTCATTTATTTCTATTTTTTAATCTAGTATTTTTTTAAGTGAAAGCTGAAATATTAGATTAGCCCCACCCTACTGCAGAACTCTGCCTGTGAAAAAATTCACCACAAAGTATAGATTTTCTTTGTTTCCTGAAGAAAATATGCTACAGACACTGATAAAACATTAGCCCAAAGTGTGAAACTATTGAAATTTGCCTAAATTAGTTCCATAAATTAGTTCCATCTGAATATACATAAAAGAGGCTCTATTTGAATATGACAAATTGCTTATGGGGAAGAAAATCTTGCCTGAGATTTGCATCACTACTGGTTTGTCAGTTTATAATCAAAACATGAATATTGTTTTCCTATGGTTCTTGGCTGATCAAAAGCCTCAAGCAAGCAAAGCAAGATAAAAATACAGAGCAAACTTTGAAAGAGGTGTTTTGGTCTTACATGAAGTACTCCAAAATACATTAAACTGAGTAATATCCGTACCTAATGCATTTCAGAAAATCTTTTAACGCTGAACTGTGGCTCTTTGGTAGAGGATTTTAATAGTGCCTGGGATGAACAGTGATTGATGTTTACTAAGCACCTCAGACTCCTAGCTTAAATCTATACTCTCTATCACCACTATTCCTACAGAATAAACCTGTTTTTATTTTTGTCTTCTCGAGCATTGCCTAGTCTCTCAAGGTAGAATCCTTGGCCTTTGACTCCTTCTTCTGCCTCCCTTCTCCCAACCTCTCCCTCCAGTCAGTTGGTTACTACTCACTTCTGTCTCCAGAATGTCTCTGTTGTTTCCTTTTATTCCCTCTGCCTCATCCTGTCATCCCTTCTCCACTAGGGTAGTAACTGCCTCCTAACCGCTGTCCTTGCCCCTGCTGTGTACCCTGCCCCCGCCAGACTTCCTTTTCACTTGTGTCTCAGGTGATCTTTCTAGAACATAAACCTGATCTTGTCAGTTTCCTGCTTAAAAATGTTTAAATACTTCCCATTACCTACCATTTAACAATCTTCTCAGTGCCACCTTGCCCTTCCTGACTGGACTTCGGGTCTCTTTTCTGACCTCATCATTTTCTTGCACACTTCATATGCTCTCTATGCTAGTTTAGTTTTCCCAAACACACTATGAACTTGTTTTCATATCCCTTTGTTCATCCCCTTCCTGTCTCACAACTACTCTGTTTAGTAAAATACTACTCATTCATTTATTCAACACGATTTCCAGATGTGTACCAGAAACTGCACGAGGCTCAGATCAGTGTAAATACACATGCTTTGAACCTTCCCCTGATCTACTTCCCACAACACTTTATTCATTTGACTAATAAAGTTCTTAGCATTCAGCACAGTGACAGTTAAATGTTTATCTATTTATAGTAAAAATGGTTATTTATTAATTACTTCCTCTGTTCTTGGTATATTTCAATTAATCTTCACAAGAACCATATAAGGTAAGGTGTATACCTTATATATAACCATATAAGGTATAGATAAGGAAATTGATGCTCTGAGAGGTTACAAAACCCACTGCCACTGAGGTTACAAGTGTTGCCTAAAATCACACAATGTAGCAGAATTATGATCTACCTCTATAGTCTTTATCTTTATTTTATACCCTCCTACTTACTGATCACTTATACTAAGCAATGTGTAAGTTTGTCTTCCCAACTGGATTGTAAGCTTCTTAAGGTCGGGTACTGGTCTCTTTCATCTTTATATACCCAATGCCTACTGTAGTGCCTGGCTGAATGTTTATTGAATGCATGATCACATGATTTGTGGGTTCTACTTAAACTCGACAAGTAAAAATATCTCAGTCTAGGCATCAGAATGGTTCATCAAGTTATTGGTTCAGCTTCAGATATTCTTTGTCACCCATCCTTCCTAAGTAGAATTTTTTTAAAATTGTGTGCAAAATGATTATTTAAATTTTCACTTACTCAGTTTTTTAATATTATCATTGTTATAGTTACATAAGAACATTCAAACTGCCTGGGGACCTATGCAAAATCAGACCCCACAGCCACCAACACTAATGACCATGCATTTCCTTGAGGAAACTGGAAGATCTTTATAATCTAATGAAATAAAAGGGACAAGCAGAAAAATCTGCCACTGCCAATTAGTTACCAGTTTCGTGGTTATATAAAGGGCCCAATCAGACCTACAATCAAGTCTTTTATAAATGCCAAAATTCACTGGTGGGTGAGGATGAGAGCAAATGTTTTAATTCAGGCTTTTTCCAACCATTAGTAATGAACTGTGATTGAAATAAGTTCCATTGTTACAGTAACTCAAAGTCATACAAAAATAATAATTTTAGTTCTTTTATGAGAGGAAGGCAGAATATATTAGCATTTAATCTGCCTGAAAATAACAGTGAGTCACCAGAACTATATAGATGGCAGTCAGTCATGCAGTCAACAACATTTATTAAGGCCTACTGCATGAAGCCTCATTACCAGGGGATAATACTGGTAGTGGAGGTTCAGATACATTGGTACGGTTACAAATTTCCTTGGTTTTGCACTCTTTCTGCCATGGTTGCTTTTCTTCCAGGAAGCACCAACTAATAAACTTCTCTACGCCAAGGATATCCCAACCTACAAAGAAGAAGTAAAATCTTACTACAAAGCAATCAGGGATTTGCCTCCATTGTCATCTTCAGAAATGGAAGAATTCTTAACTCAGGAATCTAAGGTAGCATTAGAAAACAGATATAACTTACATTTTGTTACTTCTTTCAAAAAAAAACCATTCCAGAATTTCTCAACAAGCCTTTCTTTATTTAAGAAACATGAAAATGAATTTAATGAAGAAGTGGCCTTGACAGAAATCTACAAATACATCGTAAAGTATTTTGATGAGGTAAGATTTTAAATTAGAACAATTTTTTTAAAAAAAAACCTATGAATCAGTCGCAAGGATTTGGGTATAGCTTTCTATGGGTCTCAGGACAGCTGTGGCATCCCAAATGGCCAGAAAGGGAGGCCAGGAAGCCTGTCTGAGATGGGGGATCCTGGCACCAAGCCAGACCCTGCACCTGGCTGCCCCTCTGAGTTTTATCATGCTGCCTACTTTTGAACCAACCTGAATTTACATTTGAGTTTTTGTGGCCTACAGCCACACTGACTTAAAATAACTTGATAAGTAAGTAGTGGTCCTATTAAATGGGGCCAGTTTATGCTGGATTGTAATCTGCTAAAATGAAAGCTAAGCTTATTAAACCACCTAGATTCTGTATTCAATAGTTATCTGAATAACTATGACATATTTCTGACTTAAGAAACTATTTCAATAAACCATTCTCCTTTATGATTAATTCTCCTAAATCTGGATTTTTTTCTTTGGGAATTCACACAGACACATTTATCAGATGCGCTGTTTCCAAATATATGTTAATCCCCCCTTCCCTGATTCCCCCCACTCAGTCATGCTGGGACAGGCTATCCATGTCAATGGTGAGAATAGCTCACCCATTCCATTTGCTACTTGAAGATCAAGTGAAGAGCTAAGGTAGGGTAGAGGCAATGAGTTCCTTCAACATGATAAGCATCCCTCTTTCCAGGGGCTAGGGGTGAAAAGGGAAGCACTGGGGAGGGTAGGGGAGAGGAGGGACTACACTGCATAGGATGGGCGGGAAGAGGGGAGGGAAGTGTTCATCTCTTACCAGGATGCCCCTGCCTGCTGCATTGAAGAATACTTGCCTGCATGTTGGCTGCCCAGGAATGCTTGCTGTGCTTGGAATGGCTATGACATAATGCATTAAAGCAGGGCCTTGAAGTCTGGCCCCATATTTGTAAGAAGATAGTTGGTATTTCTTGTGAGCTTCTATTTTAAGCCAAAATGTTGTTGATCCTGTGATAATGACTCAGCAAAACAACTTGCAAAGTGAGTATGTAAATGATCGGAGAAAATATTGGCATCTGTTTCATACAGATTTTACCACTCACAGCATCAGGAATGCAAAAAATAAAAATAAAAACCAAAAAGAAACCCATTTAATGCTAAAACCACAATATCTAAAATAACTGTTCTAATTGTCAACAGATTCTAAATAAACTAGAAAGAGAACGAGGGCTGGAAGAAGCTCAGAAACAACTCTTGCATGTAAGAGTCTTATTTGATGAAAAGAAGAAATGCAAGTGGATGTAAGCACTCTGGGGCCTGGCTTAATCTGGCAGAGTTCTTCAGACGACTTGGGAGCAAAATGGCTGCTTGAGCTACTCTGTGTCGTTAATTTTTTAAGTTTGCACATAGGTTCCACTTTGAGCACTGTCTTCGTAAGAGACCAAGGTACATGCACAGCTTTTAGAAAGCAGACCAAACATTGTGCCTGTGGGAACCCTTCTGTAAATAGAGTTGAAGTGGTTGTTGCAAACAGCCTCCTTGTTTACAGAGAATACAGGGCCAGTAAGCAAGTGTCAGTATTGTAACTACAGCCTCCACTTAAGCACAATAATATAAGTGGTTTTGTTTGAAAACTACAGCTAGGTAGCACTTGTGACTACACTGCACCTCTGCAGAAAAGGGACACTGCCAGTGCTCAACACAAAATGTGAAATGAGTCATTTGGAAACAAGGTGGGGGTGTTAGGGCAACCTCGAGGATTTGCAGCATTGAAACTTTCCCCAGTAGTTCTTGGAAAAGCTGACCGCAAAATTTGGTAGTGTGTACACTTAGCATTCGTGAGTGTGTATATGTGTTTTTAAACCAAAAACTAACAGTGTTGCAACATCGTTGAAAGGGCTCGTGTTTTTCAGTGGTCACCAACTGCACTCATCAAACTCACCTCCATTTCACCAAGGAGCTCTAAAGCAAGGAGAGTTTTATTTAAATGCAATAGCATTTTACCCACTTCGTTCTAACTTATATTCCTTTTTTTCTTTTTCTATTTTTTCATACAGCATGTATCTGATAGTGGGCATACTGGGTATTGTTTAAAAGAGAAAATTCATTAGTAGATTACGTATACTGTTTAAAAACTTGATCAGAACTATCTGTGGAAGAGTACTCGCTCTCCCAATCCTACATTTCTAGACTCGTGTCTCCTTGCTTTAGATTTCAAGTGAACCCTGTGGTTATAAATACTTGTGTGTGATTAAAAAAAAATACATTTTACATTTCATGAAATTGCTGTTCACACTGGAGTATAATATATAAATATATATATTTAAGGCTCAAGGCCTGAAAATATTAGTATACAACTTGGTATCTTAGTCTTACTATGTACTTTTTGAAAGTATTCCTCACAGGAGAATTAAAAATATCCATTTTATTCATGCCTTTCTTTTTAAAGAATTCCCTTTCCAGTGATACTGTAGTCTTTTTATTGCTGATTTTTTATTCCTGAATTTTTGCTGCTCATGACCAATTTTAATACCACTGTGTTTTCCATTAAACCAGAAGTAAAAACCGTAATTGGCAACTCTCTCAAGCTTCTCTTATGGCACCTTTTACCCTTGGTGTTCCAAATTCCGAATCTAGAAAATAAATATTTTCAAATAGCAAGCAAAACATTGATCACACATTCCTTAAAATCATTTACCAATACTGTATGTAACATCAGGATTTAAATGTGAAGTTTATCTGAGATAAATGAAATTCTTTTTTTCTCCTCAACATCTGGTAAAGAGAGAGGTGACACCTCAACCAACTGATCAGAAATGAAGCAGTTACTGCCCTGATAGCACCCTCCCAACCCCGTTGCTTTTGACCATTGTCTGTCCAATGGAGACACCTCAAAAATACTACCAAATAAGTTCCTTATTAAGTATTAAGGTGAGAGGTCTGGCCCCATCTAGGGCTGCTGCAGTCTTGAAAGATGTGAAGGAGTTCATAAGTGAACACTAGTAGGAGAGCTGAGAGCCAAGGGTAGGAGAGTTGCCCAAAAGACTTCCCCTTCTTTAGGGTACAGAAATGCTAAGAAAACTCAAAGGATCAGCTACAGCTTTATCTAAGTATTTACTAAATGCTACAGATGAGGGTGTCCCTGTCCAGCTCTCTGGCACACAAGTCCTGTGTGGAGAATTATCTGCTCTTCAGGGACTGTGCTGTTGGGAACTTTGGGCAAGTCACTTACCTCTTTGTGCCTCGATTTCTGTATAATATTTCTATCCTACCTCACTGAGGTGGCGTGAAGATTCACTAATGTATGTAGCGTGTTTGTCAATCTTCCAGTGAAAAGCACTGTCTAGATCCACACTTTGGATCACATTAGCCAAACGCAGTAAATGGCCAAATCAGATGTGTGCTGAAGACAATCAGTCACTGGGTCCATATTAAACAGCAACCAGAGAAACAAATGGCAAACAATATCTATTTTCAAGTTTCTTCGCATATTTTTTTGGTGCAAAACGATTCATTTATAAACTTTTTTTTCTAACACTAGTGTCTACAGCAGCATTTAAAAATTTATTCAGTTACCTTTTCTGTATTAGGATTTAAAGTCTATTTCTTATTGTATACCTGATTGAAGCTGTTCTTGGAGATGAATGTTTTAAATGTCTATATCCAGAAATAAACATTTTGATGTAACCGTGGGCTCTTTCTGTCTTTTTAAAATTTTTTTCCTTTCAATTTTCCAGCTATAGTAGCTTTTTTATTCTAAGTGGCTCCATGGAAATTGTTTTTCATGAACAAGATGTCACTGTATACTCTATGTGAATAAGCAGCTATATTATATAGTAAGTCAGTCTAAATCTAGTTCCTTGTTAACTGATGCTAAGGGCTGCTCGATTACATTCCTGGCCTCCAATATCAACTTGGATTTTTTGATTATGAAGACTTCTGGATAATGAACATTCCACTTAGTTTGGCAGGCATGAGCTCTGCCTTGTTGGCATGAAATTATTCCAGCAGAATTCCTCTAAAAAATGTTACATAAAAAGCTTCTGCTGGGTGCACAGTGGAGAAAAAAGTAAATGATGGCATACTTAGGGACGTGCAGAAATAAAACATTTATAATTATTTGGTTAGATTCAAAATAGTGGAAAGCAAAATTAAATACCAACAATACTTCTACAGGAAACACACTGGGTTCAAGTTTTACAATTGATGGCCCCATTTTTATACAGCCACAGGATTTAATTATTTGTACTTTGTTATCTTCTATTAAAATTCTAACTCAACAAAGCCAAACTCAGTGAGATCTATCTACATTGCTAAATACCCAAAACAACCCACACCCATTGCTGTGGAGTTAGTTCCAACTCATAGTGACCCTATAGGACAGAGCAGAACTGCCCCACAGGGTTTCCAAGGAGCGGCTGGTGGATTCAAACTGCTGACCTTTTGGTTAGCAGCCGAGCTCTTAACCACTGCGCCACCAGGGCTCCCACTCCTAAATATGTATGGTCAAAGTGAAATTAAACACAAGACAATATAGATAGAAAAATATTTATTAAGCTCTGTAATAAATTATGTGCACACAGGTTTTAGAAAAGGTAGCCTTTGTAATGAATATATATTTAGGTAACTAAGTTTTATTTTTTATGCTGACTTTTAAATTTTCATCCTTTTTTTTAAGAACTAGAGGTTTGTAACTCTTGTACAGAGTAAAACAGAAGATGTTTGCAGACCCTGTTGTTGCCAAGCATCCTGAAGATGAGGAAGAGGGAATTCAACATGGGCATATTTCAGGCAAAATGCCAAAAAACTTCAACAAAATAAAATAATTTTAAAACTTGATTCCCTAATTCCTTTTTTTTATATTTTCAAAGGATTGTCAACAGATAATCTAAATCTCTCTGAAATGGCTTCTTTTAATGCTTTGTTTGTTGTTGGTATCCTAAAATCCCAAAAGTCATGAAATACAGTATGCAGCTGGTACCTTTCCTTGAGGCACATTCAAGTGTTCTGGCAAACAGTAATAAAGTATCTAAATGCCACATGTTAAAACTTTACGCTTTATTGAGTCACTGATTTCGCCCCTTTTGATCTGCCTTTTCTCCAAGAACATCATTCCCCAGGAGATCCAAGTTCCTCTAGTTGTTTTCTTTGTGTTGTTTCTAGGTCTTCTAGTCTTTTCCGCAGTAGAGAGAGTTCCCTTTGATGCTGTTCCTCCTTAAAATGTTGCAGAGAAAGCACAGCAAAAGTAACTGTTAGAAAAACTATGGAAAAGTAACTGTTAAGCAGCAGCCTCAGTCGGCCTCTTTTATACAGGCCTGCAACATCTGGCAAGGAAACAATGACCATTTTAGCAGTTTAAGAACAGAGCAGCATGGGCTAGACTACTAACCAGTCCTCACTTCTCTCCAGCCTCAGGCTCTAGCCTGAAGCAAAACCGAAAGTCTATTTTTTTCTGACTGTACAATTCAGCAGGGAGTGAATGAGAACTAATGCAGGCCCTAGTGTACTTATGTGGCAGCTTTTCTAACAGGACTGGAGTTTAACAGCAGTGTATTATAAACAAAGTACTCAGTGACTAAATCTCCAGGGCTTACAACATTATCAAATGCAGTTATTTATTAATGGTCTATCTTCTGAAAATCAATCAATTTGATTCCTTCAATATTTTAGTGCACTTATATAGTAGAAAGAGACCACGTTTTGGAATCACACAGATTTAAGTCTGAAACTTAACTCTGTCACTTACTAGCTATGTTATTGTTGTTGTTAGGTGCTGTCAAGTTGATTTCAACTCATAGTGACTCCATGTGACAGAGTAGAACTGCTCCCTAGGGATTTCTAGGCTATAATCTTTACAAAGCAAATCACCAAGTCTTTCTCTCGCAGAGCCACTGGGTGGGTCTGAACTACCAACCTTTCAGTTAGCAGAAAAGCTTAACCGTTGTGCCACCAGGGCTCCATTACTAGGTGTGACCTTAGGCAAGTCACTTTATCTCTCTGACTCAGTTTCCTCATCTGTAAATTGGGAATAATAATACCCACCTCAAAGCACTTTTCATTATGACAAAACATTGTGTGGAAAATGTATATTACAGTACATGGCACCTAGTAAACACTCAATAGTAGTATCATATTTGTTGGCTACAAACTAGGTTACTTAAGAGCCAATCAATCAAGTTTCTTTTCTACTGCCTGATAGGAGATTTTGCTCCTAGCACCATCACTAAAGGACAGTCAGAGTAAATTCAAATCTACTTTGCTTCTCAGGAAATTTTTCTGAAAAATGAAAGGGAAAAGTTAACACTGACTGGGCTTACAGTATATCATTTTTATAGGTAATTCTGAGTACTACCATATTCACAACTTGATGTTTTAAATTTTTACTTAAACAGGTAAGAAAAACCTACAGAAACACTTGCCTAACTTTTTCTCCCCAGAAGAACTGCCCATACCTGAAGATGAGAAGGAAAGGACAGTTCCATGCCTGGACCTATGTTTGATGACTGAAAGCTAACAGGATTGATGGATGCTGTGGGAGGCATGTTAGGAACCAAAATCAAACTTCGAAATTCATTATGTCTTCTCTGTATATCCTTCAGTCTTTTCTGAATCCTTGTATATTCTTCAAATGGAACATTTTGCCTTAAAAGGGAAAAAAATCATACTACTGTTCTTTAATACAGTTATACTCTATAGAAGAACAGTATGGTTCACAGAATATAATTTTAAATTAGAGAAACATTTCTGGATTAGAAGACTTATCTATATGCAATATACAGATAAAATTCTGTTTATTTGGAAAGATAAACAGAAACATGACATTACATCTTAATCATGTGAACATTATCAGCACTGCCAGTTATCAACTTACTTAAAAGTTTTATTTGCCTCTCCCTACTGTGAATCTTGAAACTAAGAAAGACACCTTTAAACCAAAAGGGGTCTTTATCTTACAGAAGGAATCAAATGGAAATGCAGAAAATACTAGGTTGAACCTTGTGAAAGTGTCATTTTTGTAGTTGAAATATGGTCAATTACAAGCAAGTTCATATGGTTCAACCTAATTACAAAAATGTAGCTAATCACAAAGGGGAAGCTACCCAATTTTAGAAAAATCAGTTGGAGAAACAAGCTAACTTATAAGGCCTTCATAGATCATCATCTTATTGGTCATAACATGACTTTCCTGACCACCAATCACACTGATTAATCACATATAGTTACAAAATCACCCAAAGTTTTACATGATCTGTGCCTCAACTGCCTAGTCTTGAATTGATATTTCAATATTAATTGGAATTAATAGAAGAGGTAGTAAGTTGATTTTGTTTTAGAATGAATTTGGTGATTTCCTGCTTTAGAATAGAGTACTGTAGAGTTGGCATTAATTCCATAGTCTAGAAGTTTCTTGAATGTTCTAAAAAACAACAGTTGGAATTTGGGTAACAATTATACCCCAAAACAACAGTGCACGTCATGAAACATCACTGCTTGATATAATAGGCAGTTTCCATAACAGAACATCCAGTACTTGAATAGCTAGAGTGCTGAAGGCTACCACTGATTAGCTGAATTTGAAAATATTTTTTTATTAAATTGAATCAAATGTGTTATAAATGCTACTACTGATTTTCTCAGTCCCTTCAGAAATATGTTAACTTGAAAAAATTCAACTTAATATGCTAAGTCTTCTCTGCTTAAAAAAGCTAACGATGTTGCTTATCAGCTGTGCTTGGATGTGACTCCAAACCCAGAAGCTACCACCCAATAATATTTTCCACACTGGGCAGCCAAAACTTGACCTTTGATTCCAAGCTAGAGCCACAATTTTAACAACCATGCAATAGCTGCAACTGTTTTGTTGTCTCAGCAGCAAGAACTCACACTTGTGGCTACCAAAGTGAGCTACTGTAGCAGACTGACCTTTCCTGTCAATCCCAACCATAACACAAACACGTGGCACATATAGAAATCCTTTGGTTTGAAGGAACATTCAGTTAGAAGAAGAAAAAAAGGATAATGGATTAGGGGTTATCAAATAGTTTTAGAATTTTTAAAAATACATAGTTTAAAAGAAAACATAATGTGGATTATACCCAGAAACAAAGTTCTGTAACATTAAAATAACCACATTGGGGTATATATATATAAAACATTACCTATTTAACACCTGATTTTCTGTTTCCAATTCTTCTCTCTTTGCCTCCAAAACGTCTACTTTCTCCTGAAGTCTCTTCAATTTGTTTTCATGAAGAGACTTTCTCTAGAAAAAGAGAAACAATTACTATGAGCAAGTATGTTAACACATAATCTCCTATTTGAACAAAACAATACAGGGAATATTTTACTCACCCAAAAATTTTTACTTAGAAATTAGTATTTTCAGTGAATATTAGGAGCAAAGATTAGTAGATAACTCTTCTTGAAAACTGCAAAGGTAATAAACCACATCTATCTCATATCTTCAATGTGAGAAATAGAACTATTCTAAATGCCAAACCAGGAATTGGTATCAATAACTAAATTGCTTCAAGTAATAAATCTAAAAAGGGAAAGAGTCACATTTTACTAATGAGTCTGCCTGCCACCTGATTAGGAATCATGAACTCTTCATTTTCTCAGAAGATATCATGTGTTTAAAAGAACAGAAACAAAATTCAAAATTAAAAGTATGCTTGCATTAATAAATTGCTACCAAAGCAGCAAATTACATGATCAGAAAGTGAAGGTAGATTTTAGACGCATCTCAGTTTCCAAGTATCAGAAAGAAAAAAAATCAAACTTTACAGTACACAAAAGGAAAATTTTCTACAAACAAACATGGTGTGCTTTCATTAAATAATATGGGAAAATCTATGTATAACGCAAAAGGAGCATATAGAAAAAAATGTTTTTCACTTTTATGAAGTGTTTTTTTTTTTTTTTTTTTTTCAAAAAGACACCTATAATGTTGGAATTTATTTAGTAGGTATAAAACTTTTAAGTATTTGTTTCCTAACTTTCTTATTGAAGTACAACAGGCTTATGGAATGTAAATGGAAAACCACAAGGCAAATGTTGGTGTAACTACCTCGCAGGTCAAGAACACTGCCATGCCCAAAGTGCCCCTGCCCTTCCCCTCTTCCAGTCATCCCCTGTCTGAAAAGGTAGTTAACTAATTTACTTCTGATTTACTTCTGATGCTATAGTTTACTTTTATCTATTTTTGAACTTCGTTATCAATGGAATCGTAGTATACACTTTTACAAATGGCTTTTTTCTTTCATTCAACATTATGTTTGAGATTTATTCATGTTATGCTTACAGGTATATTTCATTCATTGTCACATATTGTAGTTTACTTATGAATATTACATAATTTAGTATATCAACCCAGTCCACTGTTAGAGGTCATCTGGGTTATCTCCAGTTAGGACTATTAAAAATAATGCTGGTATGGGCATCCCTTCTCAAGCTTCCCATTGCTTCACATTCTCCAGCACCCTAGAAAGCTCCGTTGTGCTTCCTCTCATTTACCCTGTAAAAGAACCTCTTCTGACCTTTACCACCACAAGTATATATTTACGTATTTATGGGTAATAAACAAACAAAGAAACTCATTGCAGACAAGTTGATTCAGACTCATAGGGACCCTATAGGGCAGAGCAGCATTGCACCGTAGGGTTTCCAGGGCTGTAAATCTTTATGGAAGCAGACTGCCAAATCTTTTTCCTGTGGAGCAGCTGGTGAGTTTGAACCATCAACCTTTCCATTAGCAGCCAAGCATTTAACCACTGAGCAACCAGGGCTCCTTGTAGGAGTCTATATATCCATCCATTCATCCATATAAAAGAAATCATACAGTATTACTCTTTTATATCTGGATTTTTTTTCTCAAAATTATATCTCAATGACTAAGCCATGTTATTGCTGTCAAAAAAAACAAAACAAAACAAAACTGGTTGTCATCAAGTTGATTCTGACTCATAGCGACCCTATAGGACAAAGCAGAACTACTCCATAGGGTTTCCAAGGAGTGACTCGTGGATTTGAATTGCTGACCTTTTGGTTAGCAGCCAAACACTTAACCTCTGTGCCACTAGGGCCCCACTGCCGTCATAGTAGTCCTTTTTCATTACTATGTCATCATTCATTGTATTAGTATACCACAATTTATGTGTCTTCCTGTTGATGAAATTTGAACTGTTTCCAGTTTGGGGCTATTATGATTAAAGTTTCTATGAATAAAGTTTCCTGAACATGCCCTTTGGTGGATATAACTACTCATTTCTCTTGAGTATATTCCCAGAAGTGGGTCATAGGGTATACGTATGTTTTAGCTTTAGTAGATACTGCCAGTTTTCTAAAGTGGTTCTACCAAATACCAATTACATGCCCACCAGCAATATATGAGTTGCAGTTAATAAACAGAAGTTCTTAATTTTAATAAAATCCAAAGTTTCAATCATATCTTTTATGGTTAGTGCTTTTTGTGTACTGTTTAAGAAATCTTTTAATTATCTTAAGATCCTAAGATTTTCTTCTAGAAGCTTTATTTATTTAACCTTTTCATACTTAGGTCTGTGATTCATTTTTATGTATGCTGTGAGGCTGGATTGAGGATAGCCATTTTACTAAGTACCATTTATATAAAGGATCATTCTTTCTCCATGAAATGCAGTGGTATCTTTGTGGTAAATCAGGTGAACATATATTTGTGGGTCTATTTCTGGACCCTTTTCTGTTCCATTTGTCTGTCTATCCTTATACTAATACCACACTGTTTTAATTACTGTAGCTTATAATAAGTTTCGGTATCTGGTAGTGCAAGTCTGCCAGCTGTGTTCTTCTCCAAGATTGCCTTGATTACTCTAGGTCCTTTGTATTTTCCTACAAATTTTAGAATCTACTTTCCAATTTCCACAAAGAAACCTGTTGAGATTTTGATGAGGGTTGTATTTAATCTACAGTATAATTTGGGAAGAACTGATATCTACCAAATTATAAACATGGTATAGTTTTCCCTTTATCCAGGTCTTCTAAAATTTTTCTTGGCACATTTGTAGTTTCCAATGTAAAAGCCTTCCACATCTTTCATTAGATGTATTCCTAGGTATTTTTGTTTTTTCATACTATTGTAAATGTTATTTAAATTTTTTATTTTCTAATTGTTGTGAGCATAAAGAAAGATAACTGAGTTAGTACTTTTTCTTATAGCCAGCAATTTAAAAAAATTCACATATTAATTTTAATAGCTTTTAATAGATTTGTTTGTATTTTATGCATACACAATCAGGTCATTTGTGAATAATGACAATTTTACTTCTTTTCCAATCTTTCTTCTATTTCTTTTCTTCCCTTACTACACTAGCTAGGGCCTCCAATAAAACGTTGAACAAAATGGTGATAGCAGACACGCTTGCCTTGTTCCTAAACTTGGGTGGGTGGGGGTAAGCATTCAATATTTCAGCAAGAAGTCTGATGTTAGTTGTAAGATTTTTGTAGGTACCATTTATCATATTGGAAATTCCCTTCTAGTTAGATAGGTTTTTATCATGAAAGGGTTATTAAACTTTAACAAATTATTTTTCTGCCTATGTTAAGATGATCACAATGGTTCTTCTTCTTTGTTCAGTCAGGGTGTTGAATTATACTGATTAATTTTGAATGTTAAACCACCTTGCATTCCTAGAATAAACCCTACATAGTCATGATATAATTTTTTACATATCACTGGGTTCACTTGGCTAATATTCCATTTAAGAATTTTGCATCTATGTGCATGATGTAATTGCCTTTTCTTATAATGACCATCTCAGTTCCTAACCTCATACAATAAGTTGGGATATTTTTCCTCTCTTTCTGTTATCTAGAGAATTTAATTCTTCCATAAGTGTTTGGAAGAATTCACCAGTGAAGCCAAATGAGTCAGGCATTTTCTTTGTGGAAGGTTTTTAATTAAGAATTCCATTTCTTTAATAGATACAGGACTGTCCATATTTTCTAATTCTTGTATTAGTTTTGTTAAGCAGTACTTCAAGGAATTTATCTAAATTGCATAATTTATTAGCATAAAGCTGTTTTTAAAATATCCTCTTTTTGCTTTAGTATCTATAAGATATGTAGCGATGTCCCTTTTTTCATTCATGATATTATTTGTGTTATCTATCTATCCACCCATCCATTTTTGGGGAGGACTTAGGGGAATCAGTCTTGCTGAGGCTTTGCCAATTTTGACTGTCTTTTCAAAAAACCAACTCTTGGCCTTTTCAATTTTCTGTATTGTACATTTGCTGTTTCATTTATTTTTGCTCACTCCTTGATTTTTATTATTTTATTTTACTTCTACCTCCCTTGGGTTTAATTTGCTGTTCTTCAGCTAGCTTCTTTAGATGGAAGCTTATATCATTAACCTTTTTTACTATTATATGCCTTTAGAGCTATAAATTATCCTGTAGCACTGCGTTGGCTGTACTACACTAGTGTTAATGTGTCATATTTTTATTTAGTTCAAATATTTTCCAATTTCCATTGTCATTTCTTCTTCTCTGACTCATGGATTATTTAGAAGTGTACTGTTTAATTCCAAACACTCAGGGTTTCTTAATTTAGCTTTCTGGTATAGATTTCTAGTTTAATTCCACTGTCATAAAACAAATTTTATATTACTTCAATTCTTTAAAAATGTATGGAGCCTTACTTTATGGGCTACCACATGGTCTACTGTGACAAATATTCCATGTGTACAGGAAATGAATGTGTGTTCTTCAATTGTTGGGAATAATGTTCTATACAGAATTAGTTCAAGCTGTTTAATCATATTGTTCAAATCTTCTGATTTTTTTTGCATGTTTATTCTGTTATTTACTTTATAAAGTTTCTCATTTATTTGTCTGAAAATGTCTTCATCTCACCTTAATTTTTAAAAGACATTTTCATTGGATACAGAATTCTAGGTTGGAAGTTTTTTCTTTTAATACTTTACAGATGTCAATCTATTGTCTGTTCCATAATTTCTGCTGAAAGTCATTAAAAACATCTTATTGTTCCTCGCTTAAAGGTAGCATGCTTTTTTTGTTCTGCCTCCTTTTAAGATTTTCTGTCTTCAGTTTTGAACAATCTGGCTAGGCTATGCCAGGTATGGTTTTCTTTGTATTTAACCAGCTTAGAGTTTACTGAGCTTTCTGAATCCATACACTGATATCTTTCATTAGTTTTGGAAAATTATTGACCATTATATCTTCAAATATTGTGTCCATTCCATTCTCTCCTCTCCTTCAGGGACCCCAATTACACATACATCAGACCTTTCAACTGTGTCTCACATGTGTCTTACAATGTGTTCTATTTTTTCTGTTACTTATTCTCTATGTCAGTTCAGATATTTTCTATTGACTCTCCTTACAGTTTATGAATTCTACCTTCTGCTATGATGGAAACATTGGAACGAAACTTTGGAATTCCTCAAAGCCCAATCCTCAGAGCTCTTCTCAATTGTCCTCCACTTCCTAGGTGACCTCATCTAATCCCATAGCTATAAATACCATCTATATACTGATGGCTCCCAAATCTTTATCTCTAGCCTCTGCCCTGAACTCCAGATTGATGTATCCAACTGACTACTTAACATCTCCACTTGAAGTCTACTGGGCATCTCAAACTTAACATATCCAAAAGCGGCATCTTTATTTTACCCCTAAACTTGTTCCTTCCATAGTTTTCCCTGTGTCAGTAATAGCAACTCTATTTACCAGTTGCTCAAGCCCAAAATCTTAGTCATCTTTAACTTATCTCTCTTTCATACTCCATATCCACTGTCAGCTCTATCTTTAAAATATATACAGAATTGGACCACCATTCCACCACTAGTTCTCTATTCTAAGTCAATATTATCTTTCACCTGGACTACTGAAACTGCCCCTAAGTGATCTCCCTGAGTCCTCTTTTGCCCCTCTATACAACAGCCACAGATTCTTCTAAAATATAATTCAGATTATATCATCTCTCAATTCAAAACTCTGCAGTGCATTCCTATCTCATTCAGAATAAAAGCCAAAGTCCTCATATCATCTGGCCTACTACCATTCTCTCCGTTCCAGCCATCTCAGCCTCCTTATGTTCCTTCTAACATGCCAAGCAGACCCCGGCCTCTCTCTTGTACTTGCTCTTCCCTCTGAAAGCAACACTATTCCCCTACATCTAGTAACATGTCATCCTCCATACTTTTCTTTCCATAAGGCTTCCATAACACCACAATATAATTCTACCTCTAGGACCATTCCTCCATTGGAACCTAGCTCCTCTTTCCAAGTCAACTTAATCCTTAGTTCTCATGTTCTTCATCTCCAGAAGCTAAAGTTTCTAACTATATATCTCTACTCTGAATTACTCATCCCCATGCTTTGCATTCCATTATTTCTAATTATCTATATAATATATTCACTTAGAATCTAGGACATGTCTACTTGGACCTACTGCCATCACCTCATATCAGATATGTGTGTAGTCAAATTTATCTTCTTTTTCTACCCCTAAACTGACACATATTCTTCATTCCATTATAATAACTCCACTTATATCCCATCACAGCTAAAATACTTCAAATTTTACTCTATCTTCTTATTTACTACCATATTGTATATATTTCCTTCAAAATACCTCTAGGAGTCATGCTTCATCTTTACTCCTACCCCTCAAGCCACAATTCCAGACTTCTTATCTCATTTTTAGTTTACTACAACAGTTTCCTAACTGATCTCCCTATCTTCAGGCTTTCTTTCCTCTAGCATGGTGGTTCTCAAACTTTAGTGTCCATATGAATCGCCTGGAAGTTACCAATAGTATTTTTTAGGTATTTCTTGCTGACTATCTTATTTCTCTAACTAGATTCTAAAGTCATCAAAGGCAAAGATTAATAGTGGCTTTTATTTTCCCTTTAGTGTACAGCATAATTCTAGGCACACAATATATTCAGCAGATATTTTACAACTTCAACGTACAGTTCATTTCTTTTCTGAAAATATTCACAATGGGATCTATCTAACCAAGAATTACTTCACAGAGATATACCTTAGAATGAAAGTGACAAGTTGTCACTTCAAGTGCCTCAACAAGAAAAAAAAGCATAACACGTTGTGCTCACTCCATGAGATCTCTCTTGATATCCACACTTCAAAATGTAGGAGGGGAGGGACACATATACATAAGTCATCAATCACAGAAGGGCATTCCAACTCAAGATCCCTGGTCAAGTTTTTCCAAACAAATCAACACAGCAAAGTATCATTTACACTACAGACCCCACCTAAAAATACTTACCAGAAATGACATAAGCTTCATGCTTAGGAGCTTAGAGTTATAAATAAGCAAACTCAGACGGCAGTGGGCCATCTTATCCAGTTTGGGAAAAAAAATAAAGTTGCTCCTCCCCACTTATAAGAACTCTCACAGGAAAGTAACTCTAAAGGATTACGATTTCTACCTTAGAGTTCATAATTTGTGACTTGTTTTAAGTCTTACTGCACAAGAAAGATATAATTTTTGTCATTTAAATAAAGAACCTAAAAAGTGTGTTGCACTCTTAAGAATTACTATCTATCTTCATTATTTGCGGATTCTGTAGTGAATTTGCCTACTTGCTAAAATTTACATGTAATCCCCAAACCAATATTTGTGGCACTTTCATGGACACACGCATGGGCAGAGTGTCAAAAAACTTAAGTCACCCAATGGGCATGATGTCAGCTGAGGTCGAACATGGCTGGTTAGGTATTCACTAATTCAGTGTTCACAGTGACTTTACAGAACACAACTACTGAATATTTATGTAATCTTACAGCCAAAATTTTCATAGAGAAACTTTATCCTTCACTTGAATGGGAAAAGAGTGTAAGTTACAGAAATTAATTTTATAGTGATTATTTTGCCACAGAAGACATAACTCATGTGTACCATGGCTATAATAAAGAGAAAAAGCAGTAAAGCATTTGGAATCAAAGCAAGTGGGAAATTAAAGAGTATCAGTGCAGTGGAAAGAGCACTGGACCAAAAACTGAAAGACGTCAATTCTGTTCATGGCTTTGTTACTTACTAGTTAAGTGGCCTTGGACACCTACCATTTTAGTTTCCTAATCTATTAAAAAGAGGGGAATGGGCTAGCTATCTGAATGCTAAGATCCCCTCCAGCCCCCAAATTATATATACTTGTGTATTTTTGAACAGCATTTTTATGTCACATCCACTTTAATTGATGTAAAATTTTAAGCTCCTAGGGCATTGTCCCACATGGTGCATGGTACAGCTCTGGGTCACAGCTATTCACTGAATCGAACTTAACAACTTCCTATGACTTAAGTCATAATTAACATATCACATTTTAAAAAGTGAAATGAATATTTACTATGTCTACATCCATCATTTGGCAGGTATTTCGGTGGGAAAAAAAATTCATCCTAGGTCACAATACAGATGAAATGTTACTTTGCAGGTTTCTTAAAATATCACCTTCCTTCCCTCTTTCTGGCATATCTATGATTAGGTGATAATCTCTCTCACCACTGGATGTCACTTTTGCTCCAAAAGAAGTCAACCCTGACTAACCTCAATAATTAGAATTTGATCTGTAAGATAATTATCTCTAAAACCTCGACATAAAAGTTTCTCTGTGAAAGATGAAATCAGCCCTCATAATTTCTAGTGATTTGTAGCTAAAATCTGGTTTCAGATGCTTCTAGGCTTCAAACAGTACAAGGAAGCATAAGTAGGGTTTCTGAGATCACAGGCCATCCATATACTTAATATAGACAGAAAAGAAGAGAAGTGGCATGCACAGGGGGAAAAATCAAGTTATTTATATTTGGGTATAAAACATTTGGATTCCCACGTAGTGAATGTTATTTCTCTAATCTCAGTACTGTACTACTTCTAGCACTATGGGAAGAGAAAAGTATTTGTTCAGAAACCAAGGAAGTGGGAAAGGAATGACTCTTAGACTACTAATGTTGTGACTCCAGCTCTCAAGACACATTTGGCAGTTATATCCAGTAATGCACACAGATGGCTAGGGGCTGTGTCCTTGTTTTCCAAATTCAGAATATGTGGATGATCTAGAGTTACCTTCTCTTATGCAAACGTGAACAGGTAGCTTTTCCAATAAACATAGGGACCATTAAGATACTGTTGTCTATGCCTAAAAGCACCTTTTCTCAACTCAGAGCTTCTCGCCTCCCCACAACCCGTGCCACTATTAAGGGAACTTATCAAACGGGGACAGATCAAAATCATCTGTGGAGGGTGGCGGGTTTATATCACCATGCCTTTCCCTACACTCAAATCCTGTTGAAAATAACTGTTGAGTCACTGCCACAGTGAATAATGGTTACTGATGGGACTATGCTATGCTCGTTGGGTTTGCTGAAGTAGAAAAAAAGTTGTAAACCACTAGCTTAGATGAATCATCTGGCTACATTATTTCCATGATGCCCTAGACTGTTTCCAAAAAAAATTGTTTTTAGATTCTGGGGAAAGGATGTCTACAAAGGTGAAACTTAAAAAAGATCACTGCTGTGGGAACTATCACGACTGTTTCAGAACCAGGTGGAGTCCCAGTTCCTCTTGCTGGGCAAGCAGATACTTGCTCCTATATTTCTGAGTTACAAACAACAAAGTATTTAAACCATAATAGCAATGTCACAGGTATCAGTTAGGCACAGTCAAAACAGACTAACCACAGTATAATTTAGGTGCAGAATGAATTAAATAAGGCTTGTATGGCCTGGCCTGGAATCTTTATCACTCTGAAAAACACCAACTTTGTTGAAAAATGCATGTCGGCTCTGAACAACTGACTTATAAGTAAAATTGAGAAATAAACCTGTTGAGCAGTTTGGATTTCCCCAATCTACCTCTGCAAGGTTGACAGCAAAATATCAGTTTTAAATTTTGAAGTAAACATACACTAAAATCTCAGTTTTAATTATACATTTTATTTTCCTGAATAGTTAATTACGTTTTACTCTGTAGAAATCATTTTAAAAACAACCACTTGCCTTTTTCTGAGCAATTGCAGCTCGCTGCAGTTTCTCTTTAGCTTGACTGTACTTTTCTTCTCTGTCTGTGATACGCTCATGAAGTTTATGCTTTTCTTCCAACCACTGTACCTGTTTCTCTTCTAATGTCCTGTCAGAAGAATGTATGTAAAACATGGAAGTTAATATAAACTCCTAGCATTAAATATATATTATCACAAGTAAAAGCAAACTCACTACCTGCCTGAGCACATTTGTAATTATCCAACCGCAGGCAGTCTTGCACGGTCACTTATTTGCTAATACTACCATTACTGAGAGCTCCTTAGGAGCCAGCATTGTGCTTACAACAGTATGTTTACTGCATCATTTATTCCTCACAATAACCCTCTGAGTTAGGTACTTCTATCTTCTCTGTCTTATGTAAAGGAAACTAAGGCTTAGAGCAATTAACTAACTTGCTTAAAGAATCACATCTAGTTAATGGCAGGGCAAATACTTGGTAACCAGGTCTGAAGTATGATAACTACCATGCTACAAAAATTTGGGCCTATTAAAGCTGGTTGAAAATCAACCTTTGTATCAAGTTTTAATGCAGTATATTTTCTGCCAGAGTAAAATATACATAAATGATATTTTAAGGTAATATCTTGACAACTTATATTTGTTAAAGTTCTTCTGCATACTTTATATGATTTTTACTATCCTTATTAAAAAAAAATCAGAATAACAAACCCTGAGAAGTCAGATTACTTGCCTAACGTCATATAGATTTTAAGTGTCTTAGCTGGGACTAAAATCACATTCTATTGATCCATAGTCCAGTTATTTTCTTCTATACAATCCTATGACTGACATTCAGAAACCAATGATAAATTATTTGTATCATATTTTCTAGCCACATTAGAATTCTTAAGCACATTTCAATCAAACACTTGAGGATTCCAAGATAAAAATCTCTATTTCTTACAAAATAAGCTGGACCATGTAGAGTGTCACAGCACATTCTGGACAAATATCTTGCTTACTTCCTTTTCTTAAAATTTAATCCCATGTATGAAACCATGGACAAGTCTTAAAATATGAAATAACAGAAAAATTGAAGGAAAAAAGTTTTATGTGCCAAAGTGGTCTTCAGAAAAACACATTTAAAAATAATAATATCTGTAGATTATAAAGACAAAGTAAATTCAAAATAGTAGTTTTCTACAACATTTAAATAAATTTTTCCAGAGAATATAAGAGCTTAAATATCACCAAAATCATCTGTTGTTGTTGTCGTTAGGTGCCATCAAGTCAATTCTGACTCACAGCTACCCTATGTACAACAGAATGAAACAATGCCCGGTCCTCCACCATCTCACAATCCTTGTTATGCTTGAGCCCATTGTCACAGCCACTGCGTCAATCCATTTCGTTGAGGGTCTTCCTCTTTTTCGTTGACCCTCTACTTTACCAAACATGATGTTCTCCTCCAGGGAAAATCATCTACTTCCTATCAATTTACTATACTGTCTACTACTAACAAATTTCAAGATAAAAGAAAATCTAAATAAATGAGTTTTTTTTAAGGGAAAAATCCAAGAGACTATAGTTCCAATTCTAGGAAGGGAATTTTGCTCATTAGAAAAAAAAAACTATGTTCTCTGGCATTCAGAAGAATAGGTTAGATATTTGAAGAAATGTGTTGGTTTACTCAATAAATAAAAGTTTTTATTTGAGGGTTTTCAAAATATTGTGGTCAGACAGAATTTTAAAAGGCCTTCTTCCCTAGATATCTTACTTTTTCTTTTTTAAACAATTCAAGAATCCATAACTGTCATTCTTTTGAAATAGAAAGTAGATTACCTAAGACCATTGTACACTGTCAAAGGATATTTGTAACCAATTCCCAAAACACAATTACATTAGAATCATCCCTGAAAAACTATATATAATATAGCAGAAAGAAGAAATAGTTTGTACATAAAACAGAGCACACTCTACTTTTCAACTTCTAGTTGTGCTTTTCCAGCTTGGCTTCTTAAATTTCGGCATTCTTGTTTTAACCTCTCCACCATTTCCTTCAGCATTTGGTTTGAATTCAGCAAATCATTCTCTGACTGTGCAAGTGAGGTCACTTGGATCTGCAAACTACTGATTTGCTTTAAAAAGAAGAAAGAAAAGAAACATAAGGCCAATAAACAGATGCAATAAGGTATGAGAAGAGGCACAGCATACTTAGTAACTTGCCTCACAAATACCCCACCCAACTGGTGTGCCCTTGAAGATAACCTTAAGTGAAATAATAAACAGCAGCAGCTAAGGTTACTCCCTTAATACAACCAGCTGTTGTCAAGAACCACATCCCTCAGTCACCTGCTGATTCCTCTCTCTTCTTCCCCAAATAAGCAAGTCAGAAGAGGTAGTACTGGTAGTACGGAGAAGGATTAGTAGGAGGACAACAGGGAGGTGAGAAAAGAGAATTCAACTATTAGAGACAGTCTCCTGTCTGACTTTCCCTAGCCTCCTAGGAAAGAATAGACTTTAACAGCAGGTCAGCTGGGAAAGCTGCTAAGGAAATCCATTCTCCCACTCCCACAATATGCTGTGATCAGAAACCCCTCCAAGAGTTCTGCTCTCTGAGCACTAAAGGAATGTTTTGGGTACCGGAAGGATCACTGTAACATAGATTTTGAGAGGTTTCCAAGCATTCTACATGCCCAGTGTTGGGCAGAAGATGCTCTGAGAAACCCACTGAATGCCAGGGATTCCCTGATCTTTCGTGTCATTTATCAAAGCATATAATGTCACTCAGGCTTTCTCCTCATTCCAATGTATCTTTATCTGGGAGAACTTTTTCTCGTGAGAGATAGTAGATAACTATCACTTGCTTATTGCTGCAATTTTACTGATTTTAAATTCAAGATTTAAAAGAAAAGGGTAGTACAGGGCACCAAACTATATTCTGTAATATATTTTATAAGCTTTTCATCCCTGAGATGAATGAACACTCACACAATTGTGTCTTCCTGAAAGGGAATAATACATCCTCAGCCAGAGGCTAGTTACAGAAAAACAAGCTAGAAAAATTCACACAGTTTTCAAGTTATATCCAAATAATCTTTACTTGGTACAGTTTCACCTACTTCCCCTACAAACTACTTTACCAATTAATAAGCAATAAAAATCCTCATTTTTCACTGACTTTCTTTTATCTTTCTTAACCACTTTCTGAGAGAAGTTTGGGAACGAAGAGCATCAAGAGACCTAGGAATTAAAAGAACTTATTATGAAACTCAAGGGTCAAAAGAAACCAAATTCTTTACGCAATAAAGTAAATAAGTGGGAAATAATTCCATTACTTCCTGATGGTAGCAGAGTTAAATAAGACAGGACTGCGTATGTCCAAAGAGCAACTGTTAGCAGAGTAAAGTAAAATGGTGTGTCTCAGATTTTTAGTTTAGAATGAGTTTTTCCATGTAGAACTATTCATTCTTTATTTTAATAGGAGATGTAAATATTAAATCTGTATTACAGCTGACTGAAACAAGCAATCTTCAAAGACCTTAATACTTCTCCATATATACAGAATGACAGAAAAGCCCAATGCCAACGTTACCACATAACTTCTCTTAGAGTATCAAACATTGCACTCTCCTAGTGAAGCCTTAGAAACCATAACTGCATATGAGAAGCAGTACCAGCTAGCATGTAAGCATAAACTCTAAAAATGGAATCCTCATTACTTCATAATTTAAAGGCAAAAAAAAAAAAAAAAAAAAGTTTTTTGAACAAAGAAGACAACAGAATTCAAAGAAGAGCACTCTTCCATGTTTTGCCCAACTTTCTAAAAATCTTTTCTGAACCCAAATGACTAACAAAAACAATTTCCTTCCAAAATTAAAACTTAGATTTCATAGTGATTTAGTAAGGAGTATCTCATGGAATAAGAAATTTAAGTTACATGTCAATCACACAAGTAACTTAAAACCTGAATGGTCTTACCAATCTGTTTTTTTCCACTTTTTTTTTTTTAAATTGTCTTTAGATGAAGGTTTACAGAACAAACTAGCTTCTCATTAAACAGTTAGTACACATACTGTTTTCTGACATCGGTTAACAACCCCACGACATGTCAACACTCTCCCTTCTCGTTGGGTTCCCTATTACCAGCTTTCCTGTCCCCTCCTGCCTTATAGTCCTTGCCCCTGGGCTGGTGTGCCCCTTTAGTCTCATTTTGTTTTATGGGCCTGTCTAATCTTTGGATGAAGGGTGAACCTCAGGAGTGACTTCATTACTGAGTTAAAAGAGTGTCCAAGGGCCATACTCTCAGGGTTTCTCCAGTCTCTGTCAGGCCAGTAAGTCTGGTCTTTTTCGTGAGTTAGAATTTTGTTCTACATTTTCCTCCAGCTCTATCTATTGGGACCTTGGGATCCTCTATTGAGATCCCTGTCAGAACGGTCAGTGGTGGTAGCCAGGCACCATTTAGTTGTACTGGACTCAGTCTGGTAGAGGCCGTGTAGTTGTGGTCCATTAGTCTTTTGGACTTTAAATCTTTCCCTTGTGTCTTTAGTTTTTTTCATTTTCCCTTGCTCCTGAAGGGGTGAGACCAGCGGAGTATCTTAGATGGCCATGCACAGGCTTTTAAGACCCCAGATGCTACTCACCAAGGTAGAATGTAGAACATTTTCTTTATAAACTATGTGATGCCAATTGAGCTAGATGTTCCCCGAGACCATGGTCCCAACAGCCCTCAGCCCAGCAATTCGGTCCCTCACGGAGTCTGGATGTGTCTATGAAGCTTCCATGACCTTGCCTTGTACACGTTGTACTGGCTTACCAATCTATTTTTTAAACTCAGAATATCAAAATACTATCCTTTAAACTATAATTAAAAAAAAAAAAAAAACACTCTGTGGGTGGAAGCACATAAACATCTTAAGAAAAACAACAGTTGGCAAAAGAAGCTTATTAAATTAATGCTTAAAGAAGTTTTAAACATTTTATCTTAACATATCAACCTCATCAAAACATTATCAACTATGATTAGATTTTCAGAACATTGATATGCAAAATTCAAATAAAGATGCAAAACAAAGGTCTTCAAAGAAGCACTTTTAAAAAGCAGAAGCAAAATGTTTGCTGAAATCATACCTGTTTTAGGTCAGAATTTTCATTTTTTTCTTTTTCTGCATTTTCAATATTCACCAATTGCTGTTGAAGTTTTAACCTAAAAATGACAACACACAAAAGACATAATTAAGAATCCATAGTTCCTTTAATTCACTGAATCAGGCAACCATTTTACCACATGCCTACTTGCAGATACAATGATAAAGATTCAGACTTCAAGCAGCTAGGTTGTATTCACATATAACTATGATGTAACATAAATTACTGCTTTTGCTGTAGGAAAATCTACAAACTATGGGCATCTAGAGAATGAGAAATCAAGTCTATCTAAAGGGACAAGAGAATACTACGTGGAGATAAAAATCTGATAGGTAGGATTTTGATAAACATAGGAAACAACCTGAACTTTTGGTAGAAAAGTGCAGACTGTGTTGCTAATCAGAAAGCAGCCTGGTTTAGGAGAAGCCATTATACATCCATACAGTATTTCACAATTTACAAAGTACTTTCACACACACTCTCCTTCACTTTCATTCTACTAGGCTATAAGACTTCTTAATAGTAGGGATCAGAGTCACTTCCAGGCAACATGGCACACTAGGCAGAAGCACCACACTGTCCCTCCACAGCAAACATCTGAAAAACTAAGCCAGAGAAAACAGCAATCCTGAAACCCTAAGCATCAAAAGAAGAGATAAAGAGCTCAGCCAAGCACCAAATTGAATAAGAAACTGATAGAGAACAGACAGTGAGGAGAGATACATGCAGAGGTCCCGAATCAACTAATGCAGCATGGATCCGCCATCTTGGACTCCTATCAGAGACTAGTGTAAGGGGGTACGAGAAGGCTGCTTGACGGAGCTTCCAGCAGGAGACAGAACAAGGGGTAACCAGCGATATGCACTTTTCCATCCCCCACCCTTCTTCACTCCAACTCGGCCTCCTCTGCTTCCCACGGCCACAGTCTCTTGGCCGGGAAGCACCGGCTGCTTGGATTCCACCCACCCACACTGGCTGACTCCCTGAGTGATATTTGTTCACTGCTGGTGTTGCTTTTTTCTGCTTCTTTTGATTTCTTCCTTAACTCTCACCACCTCCCCCTCCTTTCTCTCAAATTCCCGGCTCTGTGCGCTATCTTTGCTCCTTCCTGAAAGGCTGTGAAACTCCGCTCGAATGGAAAACTGCTTCCCAGTCTGTGCTGCCATGCTGGTGGGATCCCGGGGCTTTTTTGTCGGTTTTGAATTGTTTTCGTTTTCTTTTCTCAAATTGGGAGCCTGTTCTAGCCGGGCAGTACTGCGTGGATCAGGACCTACCTCCTCAGTCTGCATAGAAGCTCAGAGGGATCCCTGAGAGCATTTCCTTTTTCGTGTTTTTTTTTGGGGGGGGGGGTTCTTGTTCTTTTTTTCTTTATTTCTTTTGCTTTCTTTTCCTCTTTTTCCCTTTTTATCTTTCTTTGCTCTGTTTCTCATCTCTCTATACCTTCCTTCTCGTCCTGTCCCCTGAGTACGTGGCAATGAGTGACACCTCTATGTCTTCTAGCCAGGCTGTACTTCAACACCTGGGAGCAACTTCCCCAGACCTCGTAGCCGCACCGGTGGGATCCCTGGGAGCCTTTTTCTTTTTTCTAATTTTTATTTATTGATTTTTTCCTTTTTTCTTCTCCTTTTTGTTTTTCTCCATATCACAGTCTCTCATCTCTCTGCTCTAACAGCAAGCTCCTCTAGCACTCTTTTTTGTTTCTTTGTATGTTTTTGGCTCCTGTTCCTCCCTTTTCTCTCTCCCATACCCATCTTAGCTTCACATATCACAATCTTCCCCCTCCATCCTGCCTTCCGGCACTATGCGCTTAACATCACACTACCAAGCAGCACAGGCATGACCTACTGGAACCTTCCCTGCACTGATTACCAACCCGCCCTAGTAGCCTCAGTAAGTGCCACAAACAACCCATCTCAGCAACTCCTCTTCAGATAGACTTGCCCTGCTGTACCATATCTGAGCGACTGACCCTAACAACTGGAGGAGGCGAAAAGTACTGTGCCCACAGATGAGCAAACAAAAAAGAACGCACAGCCTGCCTGCTCAGACGTAGCAAACTAAAACAAAAAAAGGGACAAAACAAACAAATATACAATCAGTAAATGAGAAAAATAACTACTGAATGCCCCGAAGACAGCAGACAAAATCAAAATATTTACAAAAACAGGACAGGATGGTTCCAGTAGCTGTCCAAAATTAAACACCACATGACTTTCCAGTTGAAGAGAAGGCACTAGAACTACCTGATAGGGAATTCAAATCTCTAATACTCAGAATTATCCAAGAATTGAAGCAAAAAGAGGACAAAATTGAGGAAAAAATAGAAAAATTCATCAAAAATATAGACAAAAAAATGGAAGAATTCAGGAAAATAATGCAGGAACAAAATGACAAAATAAATTCACAACAAGAAATCATATAAAAACAACAATTAGAAATACAAGAGATAAACAACAAGATTTCAGAAATGGACAGTGTCACAGAAAAGCTGAGGAGCAGATTTCAAACAGTGGAAGACAGGATCAGCGAAATGGAAGACAAACACTTGGATACAACTCTGAAGAAAAATCAGAAAAAAGAACGAAGAAAAACGAAGAGACCCCTGAGAATTATGTGGGATAAAATCAAAAGAAAAAATTTGCGAGTGATCGGAGTTCCAGAACAGGGGGAGAAAACAGAAAACACAGAGATCACTGAAGAACTGCTGACAGAAAACTTCCCCAGTATCATGAAAGATGAAAAGCAGACCATCCAAGAAGCTCAATGAACCCCATATAGGATAGAACCCAAAAGAAAATCACCAAGGCATACCATAATCACACTCACCAAAACCAAAGACAAACAAAGGATTCTGAGAGCAGCTCGTGAAAAACAAGAAGTCACGTACAGAGGAGAAACAGTAAAACTAAGCTCAGATTATCTGGCAGAAACCATGCAGGCAAGAAGGCAATGGGATGACATATATAAAATCTTGAAAGAAAAAAATGGCCAGCCAAGAATAATATATTCTGCAAAACTCGTTCAAATATGATGGTGAAATTAGGACATTTCCAGATAAGCAGAAATTAAGGGAATATGTAAAAACCAAACCAAACTTACAAGAATTACTGAAGGGAGTCCTTCGATCTGAGAACAAACAATTTCAGCAAACAGGCTGAATCAAGGACGCAGGATCATACCAGCCAGATACCAATCTAGGAAATGAACTCTCAAGGACTATCGAAAACCAAAAGACATACAACAGGGGCTCAGAACAGTTAGTCTGTAAATGACAACAACATCAGAATAATAAAAGAGAGAATAAACGTTGTAGGTGTAGAACCTTCTAATGGAGAGGAAGGCAAGACAATACCAAGTAATAGTAGACTGCTTCAAACTTAGAAAGATAAGGGTAAATTTCATGATAACCATAAAGAAAGTTAACAAACCTACTCATCAAAATAAAGAGGAAAAACAAAGTTTCAGTAAAAACAAAACCTACAAAAACAAAACAAATGAAAAAAAAAATCCACAAACAAAAGGAATTCAGCACAGGAAAGGAAGAGGAACAAAGAAAACGTTGGCACCACAAAAAAAAAAGCACTACAAAATGACAGCAATAAAGTCACATCTATCAACTACACTGAAAGGAAATGGACTCAATGCACCCATAAAGAGACAGAGAGTGACAGAATGGATAAAAAAACAGGATCCATCAGTATGCTGTCTACAAGAGACAAACCTCAGAAACAAAGATGTAAATATATTAAAAATCAAGGGTTGGGAAAAAATATATCAAGCAAACAACTACCAAAAAACAGTAAGAGTGGCAATACTAATCTCAGATAAAATAGACTTTAAAACAAAATCCACCATAAAAGACAAAGAAGGACACTATATAATGATTAAGGGG